AATGTTTAACTAGTCTATAGGGTTATTGCTTTGGTGTTCATAGTTGTATGTTCAAATTAGAAAAACCTAGATCCAAAGCAATTAGGGTTGCATGTACACCATAGGATGTTGTTTTGCTCAAAACCCAACAGTGGTATCAGAGCCTAGGTAATTTTTATATTGAATAGATGCAAAAGTGAACTGCCAAAAGATCAAGAAATCGAAATTTCCGCTGTCTGACAGGCTGACTCAACGAGTCGATGTATGGACTCAACGAGTTGCATGAACTCGACGAGTTCCATAGTGGACTCGACGAGTTGACTTGTCTGGTGCCGGAGTTTTCGATTTTTTGGCCAGATTCTGATTTGGATTATTACCAAAACTCATTTTTCTTGCCTAAATTCGATTTTTTTATGATTGGTATGGATATCCTTATCAAAATTGTTGGATTTGGTTAAATATGGATAATATAGGATTATTTTGAATCAAATATTTAACCTAGTAATTTTGAAAAAGTTTTAAATTACACCCTTTAGGTTTTATAGTTTAAATTTGAAATTAAAGGTTTTAGTTTTTTGAAATGTAAATAGTTAAACCCTAATATTTTGAAAAGTTTCAAAATTTGTCCTCAAGTTTTGGAATTCAAAATTTGACTAAAAGGTATTAATTTTGAAATATTAAATTCTAAAACCCTAGTATTTTAAATAGTTCAAATTACACCCTTATGGTTTTATTAAATTAATTAAGTGTTTAATCAAAAGAGATAATTAATAAATCCATAATTATATGGTTTAAGGTTAATCAAATTAAAAGTCTAATTTATTAATAGATTAAACCATTTAGTATTCTAAAAGTATAAAATACACCCTTATACTATATAAAATTAAAAGTCTAATATATTATATATGTACAAGTAAATGTTAGTCTTACCGTTAGTAGGCCTCATTCACGAAGCTAGTCTAAAAGGGGTGTTTAAGGAAGCGGCCTGTAAAATGACCGCCATTGGGTATCCACTCTTACCCACCGCACCCTTGACAAGTGGAGGGTCGTTAGCCGAATGGGTAGGATAGGACACAAGCTTCCATATTGAAAAGTTGGGAATGTTGGGTGTCTTGTCTCAAGGAAGTTGGTCGTTGACTTGGTTCTTCAATCACTTCCTGACTCATATAGTGAGTTCATTAATGATTACTATATGATGGACCACAACATGACCCTCATTGATCTTACCTATTTGCTTATTGTTGTTGAATCAACAATGATTTGGTGCACTGGTAAAGAAATTTTGACTGGTATATCAACCTCCCAAACTTTCATGGCCACTGACAATGGCGACATTGGAAGTCCAGAAAAGTCTTCTCTTCCCAATGGAAAGGGATTGGCCAAGGTCAAACCGTTTGACCGGATGGTCAAGAGAAAGGCTGAATCTGAGATTGTCCCATGTGCTGTTCCAAAAGAGTCCATTTGTTTCTACTGCCAAGAAAACGGGCATTATATGCGAAGCTGCCATATTTACCTGAAAGATCGCAAGGATGGGAGAGTCAAGATGTACTACTCTGCTTCAGGTAAAATCCACTATCTAACTCTATTAAGTTCCTATTTTTACATTCTTAATACATGATGTGATAAGATTGCATTTTGATGTTTTGTAGATTCGAAGAAAAGAAAGGAATCTTAAAGGAAGAGCATGTTGAGTCTCATCGTGAAGAGGTGGATTTCGATCGCATGGTTCGATGATCGGATTTTTGAGCTGCTACATAGGAGTTATGATAGATTGCTTAGGAATATTTAGTAACATAGTTTTCATTTGTAATTGCGTTGTAAGGACAAGTTTTTTCTGCGTTTTTATAAATAAAATAAATTTTGATTTTTGTCTTATATATATATATATATATATATATATATATATATATATATATATATAACTTTTGTGAAAATTGATGTTTGTATGTTTCTATTGTTAGCAATATTGAAAATGGTTGTGATTCTTAATTATGTTATTTGTGGTAGTGTCAGAAATTTACCAAATAAGGAAAGATTCTCATCACCCAAGTTTCAATTGGACCGAAAGTTGGAATCATACAACTGGTATTGTATGATGAATGAGAACCTTCGTATTTGGCAAATTAAGACTAATTCCTTGTTCACATAAGTATGTGAGTCAAGTGAAGGACTAAAAGATTTCGTACACATTGTTGTGCATTGGACAAGTCCACCACAAACAACGATAAGAATAATCGTCATGATTTGCTAAAAGTTTAGTAAATATAGTTATGCTTACAAGATTAAGTGTAATTCTGAATCGTTGAAAAGGTTTCAATGTGAAGCGGAACAAATAGGAAGAAACAATTAGGCAGAAAGATAAAAGTTTCTCCAATCTAAAAAGAAAGGAGAGTACTTAAGTATCGTGTTTTATGATTAACTTAGTGATTATGAAACCGTGTCACAATTGATCCTCTAAGAACACCTTAGTGCACTAGTATGGCTAAGAAGTGAAATCGTGAATTGTTGAAATGATTAAATCAAAAGGTGAATCATACTTCGTTCCAAAATCAAATCTTAGATTCGTACTCCAAGACTGTGACTTGAGTGACACAATCTTAAGAAGGTTTATAACACTTATCAAATGTGGAATGGAAATGTTCTTACTATTTCACATTTGAAATTGGTAAGTTCTAATGTCTTGGATAAGACAAAGACCAATTAAGACCAATTGTGTGAAGTGTTTGTCTTGATAACAACCACATGTCACACCCCCAAACCGAGAATGGCGGAAACGTTCGGGGGCGGAGGACGTCATGCTAAGTATCACAACAAATGTAAAATAGTAAAACAAGCAACAACATCCATTGCATTAATAAAATAGTTAATGCATGTGTGTCCATTGAATAGTTGTATGACACTAAAAGTATAGCAAAACAAAAGAGGAGTCTTGAACATGCTCCGTCTTCTCAAAAACTATGCGGTTGTACCTGTCTACTGGTTCCCTGAGAATACAAGTTATTTTGAAAGAGAGTATCAACATTTAAGTTGGTGAGTTTATAATTATTTAGTATTTAATGTTTGTCGTTGTTTCATGAAAATGTTTGTATTTGATCTATGAAAGTGTTAGTTTATGTTTTCCAGAAAATCCCATATTTTCTATAATAAATGAAAAGTAGTCTTCAACCCAAAGACCCAAATGTTTGTATGTTTTGTTCTCTGTACTGCATAAATGTATGTTTGTTCTCTGTAACGATGTAAATGTATGTTTGTACTATGAAATTGTATAAAGTATGTTTTCCATAAAAGTAGACTATCCTTACTAGAAAAATAGTATGCGCGTTTGTGTATGAACCTTTCTGTGTGCAGATAATGGAAAATAATAACTTGTAGTAGTATTGTTTAAAATAACACCACTGAAGTAATTTTGTTTTGTAAATCGACTGTAAGATTACTAATCAATTGAAGTTATATATATTACTATGTTTTATTTGTTATAAACCGGTACTTTGTAGATGTACCCTTTTTAATAAAACCCGATACTTTATAGATGTACCCCCTATATAACTCGATACTTTGTAGATGTACCCCATATATAACCCGGTACTTTGCATTTGTACCCCATATATACATATAACCATATACTAAAAGTATTTTTCATATCATGTTGTAAATAAATGAATTGATAGTACGTTCCTTTCCTAGTATACTTGGAATGTAAAGTATATGTACGTGAATCATGTATTGTTCCTCTGTTCTAGAAAATAATATGCATTGATCCCCTAAACTATACCTATTATAGTTTATTAGTATGTTTGTTTGAACTGTAACTGATTTGTAGAAAAGACTTAATTGCCCACTGTTTGCAATCGAGTTAAGTATGTACTTTAAAAATGGGGTTTAATATTCATGTATATATTTAGCATGCATAACTACGATTTAACCGACAGTCGGACTAGTGATCCTACCCTAAGCCCACAACCAAACAAGGAACATGAGTCAAGGTATTTAGCAATAGTCATAAGTACGTTAAAGCATACTTATACATAAATATATAAATGAATACGATTTTGATAATAAACAGCAATCTAAAATAGTTTAAAAGAGTTTTTGAAATGATTTTAACAACAATTATAAGCATAAGAAATCCTTTGTTTGTTTGTTTTCACATGTAAATGTTAACACAATTTTATTGTGTTCTACTTGTATTCCCCTTAAAAGCATTTAAAAAGGTAAATTGTAGGGGTATGAACTCACCTTTTGTGAGTGATTCGATTGAAGGTTCGATTTAGGATGTTTTTCCACAAGTTAGATCCGGAAGCAAAACGGATCCTATAAGCATTTAATATAATATATATGTATACTTTTAGTGAATATAATCATAAATATGATAAGGAAATGGACTGATTTGTAAGTTTAACTTACAAGGAAGAGTGTTAGAAGCAAAATAGATGGCAGATTGGAGTTTACGACCAGAAGATGATGATGTTCTTGGGTTTACGGCCACTTCAAGCATGTGTTCTTGAGTTTACGGTTGATGTTCTTGATGAATGTAACACCCGTTTTAAATAGAATAATTAAATGGTTAGTGGGGTGTTGGTTTTGGGGTGCCAAATGATATACTTTTGATTTCCGAGGGTTAAAAGTGTAAATCCTGGACTTGAGTTGAAAAGAATTGTCATGGAAGGGCCATTTAGTAACAATTGGATTTAAATTGAAAGAATTTGAAGGCTTAGGGGGTTGATTGGTAATTTCGGGACTTGATTTGTAAGGACTTTCAGAAGGAGGGGTTAAATGCTAATTTATGGGTCTTCATTAAGAATAATTTGTAGAGAAGGGTTTGTTTTGTAAATGTTGGACTGGTATTGAAAAGAATTATGGGAGCAAGGGTTTAAAGGGTAAATTAAGGATTTGTTTTGTAAGAAAAGGGAGGAGGAGGGACTATTTCCGTCAATATGGCTCCTTGATTGTATGGAACGGATATAACTGTTCCATCGCTCATACCCTAACCCTAAATCATAAGCAGCCGTCACCCCTTCCCCTTATACCTCCCGTTCCCTCTTCCAGCCGCCGCACCACCCGTTAACTTCGGTTCTCCGCAGCCTCCGCCGAGTTTCTCCGATGTTCCAACCTCCAGCCGACTGCCGTCGCTGCTTCACCCTCCAAACGTCACAGCCGCTGCTGGTGACGTTGTGGGCAGCCGAGGGAGAGCCGTCGAAGACCACCGGTGCCACCTCCTTGCCGTGTTTTTCTTCTTCATCTTCATTTCTATTCTGGGTTGGTTGCGCCGCCGCTGTGCCCAATCGTGAGCAGCGAAGCCACCGCCGCCATTGGTTGAAGACCACCATTTCGCTATTGTATTCGCTGCCACCAGCTATCACCGCTCTTGTGGTGGCTGAGGAAGAAGAAGACCGGCGTTGGGACGCCGGGAGTAAAGAGGGACAACCCTTGCTGTCGCTGTTGTCTGCCTCTTGGGTTTCCGCTGCCGCCTCACGCCACCAGGTGGGTGGCTGGGGTTATTTTTGGAATAGATAGGGTGTACGCGATCTTCTAACCGGAACTCGCGAGAACTGCCACCTCCGACCACCGCCTGCCGCCATGGGCGGTTGTCTGGGTGTGTTTGTATTTGCGTATGTAGTTATATTAGTATGTGTGTGTGTGTGTGTTTTGGATGGTGTTGTAACTTGTAAATGGTGCCGGAATAATAATAGGAAATCCTTAACCACCACCATGAGGTGGTGGCTGCCGCCTCCTGCCGCCACCGGCCGCCGTGCCAGGTGGCGGTGTGCTTGCTTCGTTAAGTTTGATACGTTTAGGGTGCTTGAAACCCTAATGGGCCTTGTAAACCCTAATGGACTCTAATGGACCCCTATAAAACCCTAATGGGCTTAATGATATTTTAGTGGGCCTTATAGGCCCAATAAAGCCCTAATTGACCTAAAAGCCCACCCAATTGATTAATGGGCTTGTATTGGGTTGGAAACCATAATTAGGGTTTGGAAAACCCTAATGCCAATAAAACTCAATTTTTGGGAATTGATCGGGGCACGCACGAGAATTATTTAAACTTGACATATTAAATAATAATCATTGGCAAACTAACTTAAGGCAATAATGGACTTAATGGATTAAGTCCTTAATAGATTAAGTCCTTAAAGGGTTAAGTAAGAAACACTTAACCCTAATCATCATTTCATGTGGAAACCCTAATTTTGGGATTATGGGCTTGGACTTATCGGGACCCACGTTTGGGTCATTGGGATAGAATTGTGTATTAAGCCCAATCACACCATATGACTTATTTAGTAAAGTAAGGGACTTAATGGATTAAGTCCTTAATGGGTTAAGTGAGAAACACTTAACCCTAATTGTCATTTTATATGAAACCCTAATTTCACTTGGGCTTCGTGTTGGGCCTTTCCTTTGGGCTTTGGTAATTGGATTATTAATGGGGCATTCAAGAATAATCATATGGACTAGAATATGTTGATGGGCTTAGGGTAAGGCCCATATGAGGGTGTGGGCCCAATTTCGAAAATTGGGCCATATGTTGGGCTTTGGCCTATTACTTGACTATTGAGCCTTTAGTGTGTGAGTTGGACTTTGGGCTTGGAACCCAATTATTAATTGGGTGTTGTTTGATGTTGACAGTTCGGGAATCTGTCAACCAACAACTGGAGTTTTATCGGCGGGACTTCAGCAGTGCCAGGTGAGTTATCCTCACTATATCAACAGGGTCTAAGGCACCAATGCCGACCCTTTATGGATTGTATTCGGATTATTGCATGTTAGGTTTACTAATTTACATTCTGGTAGTTAGGATGGTGATATGCTATGCTTTAGTGACCCAGTTGGGTCGGTATCCTAGTATATAAGATGATGCTATGGTAGTGACCTGTTAGGTCGATATCCTGGTTATGGATTGTTGCTATGCTTTGTGATCTGTTAGATCGGTTTGACTGATATATATATATATATATATATATATATATATATATATATATATATATACATGCTAGTGTTATATGATATCTATGTGTACATGATTGTCCTGGTTATAGGATGATGCTATGTTAGTGACCGGTTAGGTCTGTATCCCGGTTATTGGGATGTTGCAATGATTAGTGATTCGTTAGATCGGTTTGACTGTTATATGATATGCGCTAGCGTATGATATTTATGTGCACAGGTTTGTTTGATTGAGGGTTGGGTTGAGGCGGTCCTGCTTTGTGATGTAGGCCAACATACCCGGTGAGCGGTCCGGATAGGCTGTAGGCCCTGCGAGGCGGTCTAGTCAGGCCGAAGGCTCGGGAGCGGTCCAGATAGACTGTAGGCCCTGCTAGGCGGTCCAGTCAGGCTGAAGGCTCATTATGCATGTTGTTCTGGATTTGTTATATGATATGGTTATATTCGTATGGCGTTTGTATTCTGGGGAAACTCACTAAGCTTCGGGCTTACAGTTGTTGATTATGTTTCAGGTACCTCTGATGACCGCAGGAAGGCGAAGGCGTGATCGTACAGCTCCTCATGTCTCATTATTTTATGATTTGATTATGGGGATACTCTGATGATTAAACTATTTTGAAAACAATCTGTAATAACTTAACGGTTTAAATGTTTTAAAAAGTTTTAAATTGGCTTGAATTTTTGGGATGTTACAAGTTGGTATCAGAGCCTTGGTTTGAGTGAATTGGAGGAACATTCGTGTGAATCCAGTCTCAAATCAAGGAAATATTTTCGAAATGATTTTAAATGGTTTTCAAAATAAGTAAAAGAGGATGTGAAGTGTACGATCAGTCGGAGCCAGTAAGTAGACCCCAAAATACCATACTGATATTTGATATTGTGATATGTTAGAACAGCATGCTAGTACTAGGCTAGGGATCTTCAAGAATTGCATGATAGAATTGTCTGATTACATGATGCCTGCTAGCCTAGGGTTTCCTTATATGAGATTGACATCATTACTGTAGTTGTTTAGTGTATGCATCACGACTGTACATAACTAAGATCTTATAGCCCAAGAATGTTTGATTTGGCCTTATGCTCTGTTCTTATTGATTGGGGCTTAGGGTAAGATTGGATATTCGAAAGTCTATAGGGTCCAGCGTTATGTATGGCTAGCATACACTAGTGCTGCAGGGTTGGTGGAAGTTTCATGGATGGGTGGGTGGTGTGAGGCCGGGAGGCCAGTTATGTGATATTTAGCATTCCTCTAGGAGTGAGGATTGAGCGCTCGCTACGACTACGTATATTGTTAGCGCGTTGTGATGATACTTGAGACAAATATGGGTAGGTGTGGATGGTAGTATGGGCCCGTACTACTGAAAGCACAGGACCCATACGCGTAGCAAGGAAGTCACAACCCCTAGGGTTTGGTTGGGAATTGGATCTTTGTCATTATATGGGTTATCAGAGATCTTCTGGTGACTTACCAGAATGGTGGTTACGAGACGTCTTGACCGGATCCTGGTTAGGATCGGGAGCTGGCAGCCAGGATAGGCCAACATTGTCAGAGGACCGTGTTAGTGAGATCATCCGGGAGGAGGTGATCGAGTTTTGTCCAGGGACAATTATCGGAGATGTTTGGGTCTATTTAGACCGCCATGGTTGAGTATTTCGATGAGCGCTACGCAGCAGCTTTAGCAGCTGTAACGACAGCAGGGGGAGGAGCTGGTCGAGCTTTCCAGTACCGGGACTCGTTACTGGGACATATTCTGATGAGCAGAGGGCTGCAATTACTTGGGACCAGGGAGATATTCTGTACTCGTTATATTTCCGCAGGTTGAGCAGGAGAGGCTAGTACATGAGTTTCTAGATTTTAGGCTTGGGGGTTTGCTCGAGGCCGGAATGAGAGTCGCGGGGACTCCGGAAAGGAGTGATGACTATGTTCAGCTGGGGTTTCACAGCTGGAAGTAGGATGATTAATTGGTGGATTGGAATATCGTTTTATAGGGTAAGGATTATGCCCTTTCAGTTTATGAGACCGAAGAATTGAGCAGGCTTGTGACCCCAGGATCAGGTTGTATTCCAGCTCGGGGTCAGCTAGTCGTAGGGGTTGGCGACAGTATTTCAGCGCTGGTGAGCGCGGGTGTGTTGATGTGGCATAAGTAACTTGTGAGATCTGATTCACCTTGGATCTCTTGCATCGGACGGTAAGGATTGATTGTGCGATTCATTGCACTTTCGGGATTGGAGACTATTTCTTGGGAGCAGTTGTGGCCCGGTTTAGGGCAGAGGTTGTTTCAGCTACTGCAGTTAAGTTGTGGATGATCGAGCTGGTGAGTGAGTCGGGGTGCGAGACCCTGAATGATATGATTTTTGGAGCCGAGAGCGGGAGATTTTTGGAGCACTTTGGGAAGAAGGGTATTATGTGGGAGGCCTGCGGATAGGGTCGCACAGGATGGTTATTCAACATTGTCAGGATTCAGTGACTGTAGTAACCGTTATTGACTGGCGGGGAAAGCGCCAAGGGAAGTAGCTCGTTACTGAAGTATTAGTTGGAGCATCTATCTTTTGGTCTTCAAGATTTGAGTGTGGGGTCATCCAAGTATTAGGGACCGTCGGTTTCACGGGGATTCAGGAAGTGTTTAGCTAGTTCTTAGAAGTGTGTGATCACTTGTGATTGGCTAGTAATGGAGCACTAGTCGAAAAAGAGTTGGTTGTCATCGGATTGATCATTGGAAAATGAAAAGAACTGGAAATTCTCCAACTTTCATGTGTTGTGAAGACTTAGTCGAATCTAAGTGGGGGAGAATCGTCCCGAGGTCCAGAAGCAGGAGCAGTGTTGAAAGAGGGATAAGTCTCGCATCGTTTTCAGGAAGGAAGATAACCCAAGTGGCTGTTTGGTTTGTGGGTTGTGTGGATTGGGAGTTCGGTAAAACTCCCGAGCATGTGTAGCATGTCTTCTTGGTGCTTGATAGTAGAAGTTGGGAAACCAGGTAGGAGTTTTAGTCATGAATTGAGTTCAGTTCGAGTATTCGATCAAGGGTGTGCTCGACTCTGAGGGTTTTTGGATTGATAGATTGAGGGTTTGTTAGCTGTCAGGGTTCGGCAGTACATTCAGCACGAGTATGCGGATTATTAGCGTATGTGGTAGACACACGGGTCGGGGAACAGACCACAGATTTCCGAGAGGATGGACGATCGACATGAGGCCTAGGGTTAGGCCGGGGTTAGAGTCCATGAAATGGATCAGGAGTTCGGAACCCTAAGTGGGTGAGAACAGTCTGCATGGGAAACATCACCAGGGGGTGGTCCAAGGAGATGCTCAACAGTTTAGAGTGGTCCAGATGACTGAAGGCCTGGTAAGGAGGTCCAGTCATGCTGAAGACTCTGTATGTGTTTG